TACACACTGCACACTGACTAAAATTTTAAAAGTGAAAAAGCATAATAGGACCCCTTTAATAATCACATTAGGCCATATCACGATTCCTGTTTTTCTGTCTGCAAATTTAAAATGTCTAAATGTCTAAAATTATAATTAATTCTGTCTATCTGTCTGCCTGTCTATCCATAGGCTAATTCACACTGCACCGACAGATGCCACCCATAACCAGATTACAGTATCTATGTGTCTGTCTATCTCTGTTTATATACTGTATATCAATAATACTGACCAAATTCAGCTCTAATTCCAGACATTCCAAGAATGCATTGTGTCAAACCCAGTGAAAAAAATGATCCAAGTTGTGAGAAATGTTAATTAGAAATAAACAACTCATTCCATACTAAAAATATAATTGAAAATAGTTCAGTGCAATTGAAACAGATTATTCTACACAATATTTCTGTGTGCAAGATATTGCATGCGTCCTATTTTAGTGACTTTACTGAATTCAATATTACTTCTATCTCTCTCTCTCTCTCTCTCTTACACACACCCAAGGACTAGGGTCCTAACAGCCAAATCCGGTGCTTGTCACTACACACAATCAGTGCACAAACACACACAGACGTTATTAATGCAGCTTATAGCATTGATTTTATTTATAATCTCTCATCTAATTTTTTTCAGTAATCCTTCAGATGACACAGGAAGATGGAAAAATGGAGCGAGACTAAAAAAAAGAAGGGCTGCTGAGAGAAGTAGAGTGTTTTTGGTAGAGGAACAGTGAGGTGAGTGAGTCATCTGCAGTCAAGTGCATCAGAGCGAGGGGCCTGTCATGGGACCATCCCTATGACTCAGGCATAAATGCCTCAAATCATGCTGATATCTCTGAGGAGGGAGTGGCTGGGCTGTTTCATTCTGATGCCTTCAAACACTCCAGCTCTCCAGCCAGTGCTTGCTGAATCTTTGGTGAATCTACAGGCTGTCTTTGCCAAGGCCGATATGTAATTCCCTTCAGACGCCCTGAGAGAGATAGGCAGGAGGGAGGAAGAGAGGCCTTCTTCTATTAAGATTAAAGGGTAGTCTCCTTCACTCTTGCTGACAGTTTGAGCTGTTCACTGACACCCAGGGCAACGAAAACCTCCTTTCCACATCTACGGGTGGATTTTAAATATATCATGTGAGTCATGATTTTTTCACGTTTACAACTAAAATAGATTCTCTAGAAATTATAACCATTTCTCATTGAATATAGCATGAAGATGTTGTTAGAGGAACAAAGTGGATGTTGAGGCTTTCTGCTTATTTTTTATTGAATATTAATGATTTCTCATTGCTGGAGCACCAGAGCTAAGCGGCCATTCATCAGCAAAGATGAAACTGTCATAATTGGCCTTGTTTCTTGCTCATTTATTTTGGGCAAGTTTGTAAAGTTCAAAGAACTGAGATTTGTTAAAGTGTGTGAAACAATCTCATATTCCATATCATGCCATTGACAGCACCAACAAATCTAAAACAGTCAGTCTGCTTCTGACCAGAGAAAGCATTCAAAGATAGCACCTCAGTTGTAGGTATTGAGGGTGGAAGAGAGTGCTGGTCATTCACTCCCCCCTACCTACATTTTCTGCTGGTACCGAGACTCGAACCTGCGACCTTCAGGTTACAAGTCCGACTCTCTAATGGCCACAATTGCCCCCTAAACTCATACCGGTTTGGAATGACATGAGGGTGAGTAAATAACAATTTAAATTTTTTTTTTTTTGGTGAACTGTCCCTTTAACCCTTAAATGCATACCTTGGGTCTTTAGCAACCTGGGACATCATTCACTACTCTCTCCCTCCTTCATTTCTGAAAGTTAGACATCAACTTTCTTACTATTCCTCAATCTATTCATTATAAACAATATAACAAGAAAGAATAATAAAATATAAAAGGACATAATATAGGACAGAACCCATCTTGGGTTAAATTTACCCAGCAAATTGGGTTGTTTATTTAACCCAGCATAATGGATTGATTTAACCCAGCTAATGGGTTTATTCATGTTTACTATATTACTAGCTTATTTTTTACTTCATACATTAAATAATGTTTACAGATTAACTTAAATCCTCTAAACTTTTCTAAAATACTCCACACAACCACTGGTTTGCATGAACTTCCTTTATTTTCCTTTATCATTTACAGCATTGTTTATATATATCTCTTTTTAATAGGCTATACATATTATATATATATATATATTATAGGCTATACATTGCCTATATTTAAACTCGTTTAACAAACATTAGAAGAAAAATTCAACATTAAACAGAAGTAATTCACGTGTAATCGACCAGTCTCTGTTATTCTGTTTCCACCGTAACGGCGCTGGTTCTCGTACCCGCTGGAGTCGTGTTCGGAGGGGAACTGCTAACGGACTGCCGCCCTGCGTTTCACTCATAGCCGAAACATGCTGTGACTCCATAACCTGCCAATAAACAAACAATAAACAGCTCTGAGGACATGTTTTAACATTCAAAGTATTATATTCTGTATCTTTATGAATAAAATAGTTTATTTTATGCAAAGAATCAGGCTTTTCCATCACACGAAAAGACCGTGACACTCGTTAAAGGTGATTCACACCATGCGCCTGTATGTTGCTCTGCATAAAATTGAACGATATACAGAGCACAGTAACGATTTTATAGATAAAATAAAATTTACACAAACCTGTATTTTACTGAAGAATGCATCAATTCGACGGCGCTTAGAACTGCTCTCTCGTGAAGACCCCCAGGGCAACGAAAACCTCCTTTCCACATCTACGGGTGGATTTTAAATATATCATGTGAGTCATGATTTTTTCACGTTTACAACTAAAATAGATTCTCTAGAAATTATAACCATTTCTCATTGAATATAGCATGAAGATGTTGTTAGAGGAACAAAGTGGATGTTGAGGCTTTCTGCTTATTTTTTATTGAATATTAATGATTTCTCATTGCTGGAGCACCAGAGCTAAGCGGCCATTCATCAGCAAAGATGAAACTGTCATAATTGGCCTTGTTTCTTGCTCATTTATTTTGGGCAAGTTTGTAAAGTTCAAAGAACTGAGATTTGTTAAAGTGTGTGAATATTCCATATCTTCCATATCATGCCATTGACAGCACCAACAAATCTAAAACAGTCAGTCTGCTTCTGACCATTCAAAGATATCAAAGATAGCACCTCAGTTGTAGGTATTGAGGGTGGAAGAGAGTGCTGGTCATTCACTCCCCCCTACCTACATTTTCTGCTGGTACCGAGACTCGAACCTGCGACCTTCAGGTTACAAGTCCGACTCTCTAATGGCCACAATTGCCCCCTAAACTCATACCGGTTTGGAATGACATGAGGGTGAGTAAATAACAATTTAAATTTTTTTTTTTTTGGTGAACTGTCCCTTTAACCCTTAAATGCATACCTTGGGTCTTTAGCAACCTGGGACATCATTCACTACTCTCTCCCTCCTTCATTTCTGAAAGTTAGACATCAACTTTCTTACTATTCCTCAATCTATTCATTATAAACAATATAACAAGAAAGAATAATAAAATATAAAAGGACATAATATAGGACAGAACCCATCTTGGGTTAAATTTACCCAGCAAATTGGGTTGTTTATTTAACCCAGCATAATGGATTGATTTAACCCAGCTAATGGGTTTATTACAGACGAACTTAAATCCTCTAAACTTTTCTAAAATACTCCACACAACCACTGGTTTGCATGAACTTCCTTTATTTTCCTTTATCATTTACAGCATTGTTTATATATATCTCTTTTTAATAGGCTATACATATTATATATATATATATATTATAGGCTATACATTGCCTATATTTAAACTCGTTTAACAAACATTAGAAGAAAAATTCAACATTAAACAGAAGTAATTCACGTGTAATCGACCAGTCTCTGTTATTCTGTTTCCACCGTAACGGCGCTGGTTCTCGTACCCGCTGGAGTCGTGTTCGGAGGGGAACTGCTAACGGACTGCCGCCCTGCGTTTCACTCATAGCCGAAACATGCTGTGCCTCCATAACCTGCCAATAAACAAACAATAAACAGCTCTGAGGACATGTTTTAACATTCAAAGTATTATATTCTGTATCTTTATGAATAAAATAGTTTATTTTATGCAAAGAATCAGGCTTTTCCATCACACGAAAAGACCGTGACACTCGTTAAAGGTGATTCACACCATGCGCCTGTATGTTGCTCTGCATAAAATTGAACGATATACAGAGCACAGTAACGATTTTATAGATAAAATAAAATTTACACAAACCTGTATTTTACTGAAGAATGCATCAATTCGATGGCGCTTAGAACTGCTCTCTCGTGAAGAGAAGATGCAAAATCCCCGCGATAAATAACTCAACCGCTGGGTTACGTCTGACCCAGGATCTGAGTAACACAAAAACTACCCAAACATTGGGTTATGTCTGACCCAGGAGCTGCAAAACAACCCAAACACTGGGTTGTTACATTTGACCCAGGAGCTGAGTAACACAAGAACTACCCAAACACTGAAAAAATAACCCCCAAAAAAATGATCCAAAAGGCTCAACCCTGCATTTGGGTTAAAAAAATAACCCAGGATTTTTTAGTGTATATTTTTCCTGCGCAACAATAATTAAATATCTGATGACTCAATAAATGCAATTCACCTTTATTCTTCAAGGTGGCACTGTTTGATAGACAGTGATGACGTGATGTTTCACTCATAATTACCGCAGGCATAAAACAAAAGAATATCATCAGCAAAAGCTGGGACCAAGACTAAGATTGCAAATATGAGCCAGACGCTGAATGTACTGGGAAAATGCGCTCTGACGTTGACAGTGATTGTAAAATCCATGCATTTAAGGGTTAAATAACACATTTGTGTTTAAATTCACATAAAAAAAAATCATGGCATGGCATCTTTCTTTTTTTTAATTCCGTTTTTGTGATATTAGTTCTCCTACAGGCTGTTTTTATGCTTACCAGACATCTTCAGCATCCTCATCACACTCAGCCCCAAACTGGCAAATGTCACAGGTGGTCGTCTCTTTCTGTCCATTCTCTGCCGAACCCTCGTTTCCTGCTTGGATACACAAAGACAAGACAAGACAACATATGCTATCAAACGTCTGACAAATATTACTTGGGGCAAGATGAGCAGGCATTCACACTCAATCTCTCTCTCTCTCTCTCTCTCTCTTCCTCTCACACAAACATTCATAAATAGATGGAGAGACAGAGGACAGACATAATTCTTATTCAGTCTTTGTCTCTGGCTCTCATGAGAAGTTCAAATCCCCCACTGATCTTTCCTCAGTCTCACCCCTCATTTCATCATGATGATTTCTGATTTGCCGCTCCTGCTCCCTGGCGATAGAGGCTTCCCAGGAGCTGAAGCTTAAAGCCCCTCGTTATCACATATCTGCCCTCATCAGTGGACGGGGAAAAGCAATCCCGTACATCATGGAATTTAAATTACGTCTCCTCCTCAGAGGATCATCGCTCCCCTTTGGATCCTGACCCTCCATTATGAGGTGCTATTTTTAAAACTTAGACCGCAAAGACAAAGAGATGAAAAAAGAAGAAAGTATTCTGCACTTCCATGCAAAGAACAATGTTTAAGTCACAGGTGTTACTGTTTTGCTATTTGTCTTTCTATTGATTCTCTTTTAAGTTTTTCTTTTCCTTCATTTTGGTCTAGATGACAACTACAAATACAAGTTTTGCACTGACACCGTGTCCTTTCACAGATCAAAGATGAAATAAATCTATGATTTTTTTAATTCAGCAATATCACATGAAAAAGAGTTCTGTTGTTCCAAATTTTCAGACCAACAGTACAACCGCTTTTATACAACAGTTCAATGAACCGTCAATATTAATCAATATTAATATTAACAGTATAATACTATTAATAAAATTAATATTAACTTACATTTTAGACACAATAGTGGCAGTTTGGTATCAAAATGTTACAAAATCAACGGCTGTGTTTTGTTGCTGAATGAATCAGTTTTCTGACAAATCTTTTGAGTGAATAATTCAATTAGTCACTCATACTAATTTGTTTTGTCTTCAATGAGTTAGTATTTTGAATGAATCGCTTGAGTGAATGACTCAACGCCTCACTCTTAAAGACAGTCACTTGCTTTGTTCCTGAACAAATCAGTATTTTGAATGAATCGCTTGAGAGAACGATTCAAAGGCTCACTCAAAAAATTCACCTGTTGACACCTACTGTCGTAGAAAAGAGTCACTAAAAATACCCACCACTTATACAGAGACTGTCTGGAAGGCACAAAACAGACAATCAGGGAGTCAAACAATAAAAAGTAGAAGAAAATCAATGAAAAAGAGTAAAATAAACTGTGAGTATAAGATTTATTTATTATTTTTTTTTTGTTAATGTGAACACAATGGCTAACATTAATTTCACAAATATAATAGATCAAGCTTTGCCCCAAACACATTTCCTGTCCAGCATCATGAGCGGAGCTGATTAACCCAGCACCCAGCTTCTCCCTGATGTGCGGCTGCATGAACCCAAGGGTCTGGAAATGAGAAACGTGTCAGATGGCAGGGGCAGTAACAGTTATCTCCATCTCTCAGTTAGATAGACCTTCTGAATTGATTTTCCCTGACCAGAAACACAGTCACCAACCCCCTCTTTTTTTCATCTACAACCGCCGCCAAAAAGATCCTGCTTCTGATCGTGTTTATGAATATCTACGATGTGTGTGAAAACCCTAGGTCAATGATTGATTAAATGTATCTGTTTTGTGGATAATGGCTACAGAAATCTAGTCTTTTGTTATTGTTATTGTTAATGATGAATCTTTAAAGCGCTTTTCATAAGGCGAAGACATTTAAGGTTATGAAACATTAAAATGTAGCAATCCGAGCACATACTGAGCAGAGGAATAGTTTTTGCTTTAAATGGTGGAAGGAAAGGAGATACTCAAATGAACAGAAGACAGATGGTGAGTGACCAAGAAAATGACTCTTAATGGGACAAACCTACTTGTGCAGAAACTAAGGAGAAAGGTGGGAGTGGATTTAGGGCACAACATGGGCTGTCAGACAGATGATGAATGAAGCCACCCATCTCCTGAACAGTGTATGGAAACTGACCTTCACAAACAGGAAGAATGAGTGTATACACACACACACACACACACACACACACACACAGAAATGTGTTTCCTAGTTTTAGTTATATCATTGGAACAAATTAATACGTAGTAGGAACAATTTCTTAATTTGTGGCCAGAATATCTATTGTTTTCCACATGTGGTGTGCAAAAAGGCACCAGATAAGCGTCAGATCATTTTTTTTCAGAACATATATCATAGATATAAACAGATGAATAAATTAATACTTTATTTGGCTCATAGTCATTTTTTTTTTTAAGTATAATTGAGTATTTAAAATGGAGTAATAAAGCAAATTCAAGACATATTATCTGAAAACCTGAAGAGTCTTATTATCTAACGGATATTATCTAACTTATCTTTGCTTATAAACATGATTGTTTTGCAGAGTACATTGTTTCGTTTTACCCCATATGCAAATTCTCTGAGATAAATTTTATTGTTTCATACATGAGCATGAAATGGAAATGAATTCCACTTGATTCTTTTGAGTGGTATTCATCGCAATGCACACAATGAATGAATGGATGGATGATACTGTAACTCCTGGGTCATTTAGTGAAAAGCAGCTCAGATTAACACAAACACACACACAATTTGTGAAATGGAAGGGGTTTAGAACATCACAGTTAAGCATTTGCTTAAACAATGAGGATCATGAAAAAGCTCTCCCTGGACTCGAAAAGGTCAAATTACACCATGTATATTATTTTGTATTTTGAAGATGCATTACTACAATGCAATGCTGTATTAGCATATGTGAAAAAAATGTAATGGAAGAAAAGCCTACATCCACAACCCCCTGAAGAGATGCCACCACACAAGAACATGCTGAGCTCTTAAGGGACACAAAGGTCAAGTGAATCTCCACAGATGGAGGGGACACATTAGATCTTTGAATCAATAGAGAATGTAGGAAGCATAATGCTTACAGCGGAAAGATGATAGCCTGAAAGAGGATCTTTGGATTTCCACTGATCTCCACAAACTCATGATGCCGCTTTATCATTATGCATGATGAGCAACAGAATCATCTTACTTTCTCAAAAGAATCTCCAGAGTGATGAAAATTGTCTTGTTCCTCCTTTTGTACTGCAGTAATGTGACTTTTTTTTCTGGCAGTGATTGCAAAATTCATGGAATGACTTTATAGGTGTTCGGTTTTAACACATTGCCTATGGGTATCTGAGAGCGAAAGTTATTTTTAAATCTTAATGTTTTAACTTATTTTTCTCGAAACAAAAGGATCTTTTTTTTCATAAATATGGTACCAGGCTCTCAATGCTTTAATCATGCGGTCATCAACTAAGCCTTCACCACATTGGGTCCATTAAAGCCTACTTCACACAAATAAGGCTGTTTGAGTGTCTCGGTCCCATTGGGAAAAGCATGTCGTAAAACCCCTTTGGCACTTTGCCTCTTCTATCCACACCTGACAGCATAGAAGACCTTGCCAATGACCCATTTGCGCATGTAATTACAGCAATCCACTGACGACGGTGGCGCAGAGCGAAGGTGTCTAATTTTGTGGAGTGCTCCCGAGGCCATTTTCTTCCACTGGTTGACAGCTTTTGGAGAGTGCTTTGAAAGCCAGATGAGGGTTTGAATTTGCAAGAGAAGAGCCAATGTGTGAAATTCAGGAAAGGAGGCCCGAAACGGGCTGCCCTTCTTCAAGGGATTAGGGAAGAAGAAATAGGAAAGGAATTAGGGTTTAAAACTTCATTTTTTCCAGCTTTGACCTGATTAAGTGCTGCTCGCTGAAAGTCTTCCATTGAGCGCTAAAAGACCCAGCAGAAGGTCTATGAATCGGTTTCACTCTGGGTCATTACACTGCCAAGGGTCAACCGTGTAAAATAAACACATAGACATTTAACATACACTCAGAAAGACTCTTACGATTGAATCACATACTGTACATTACACGTACACCCAATACATAAACACCATTTCACTTGCATTTGATACAGCTGTACCATGTCTAAAGCTTTTCATTATCCTCCCATGAGAAGTGCTGCGAAGTTCAGAGCCTCTTACATTCACACACAAACCAACACGTGTGCTGATCTCCGGCTCTGACTATGATCACCCATAATAACACTTGTGATGGAGCCGCTCTCAGATATATAATGGAAGAAGAGTGCAGGGGAAGGAAAGGAGATGAAGAGTTGAGGATGATGAGAAATGAGAGGTAAACAGGATGGAGAGAACATCAAATGGCATTTGTGGTATGTAGCAAGGAGAAAGAATGAAATGAAACAATGAAACAAAGTAAACATGACAATGACGGAGAGCATTCGAAAACAGGTGAAGGATGAGAGACATTAAGAGAGACTGAGAGAGACAAAAAAAACACAAAGGGACAGAGAGAAAGAGACAGAAAAAAACAAATTCAGCAGCTAAGTGGTCGATGGGCAGTCAATAAAGTGTCACTTTCTGCAAGCTAAGAAGCCGGCCTTGATGAGGGGATCTGACTAGGATCGAGGCTGAAATTAACGTTTGCATTAGTGGCCACAGCAACTAGTGCTTTAACCTACTGAATGACCTTCCCTAAACCACAATCTCATATTAGACCATAAAATGCCCCAGATTAAAAATAAAAACATTTTGTAAGGATTTCTTACATGCCTAGCTGTGGGGAAAAAAAGAAAGAAAGATAGGCTCCCTGAAAGCTTTCTGCTAGATTTAACTCCTTCATAATACTGTTGTGTTGAAAAATAACAGACATAAACTAAAGGTTCTTTACAGTGGAAAAAGGTTCCACTTTTTTTTAAAATAGTGCATTTAACAGTGATATTAAATTATTAGTGTTTTCAAATGTTAAATTGAATTAAGCATTAGATGAAGGCAAGGAAATGTACATTTAAAAATAGAGGAAATGGGCATGCAAAAGTTAAATATTCAATATCTACATAAAATGCTGACAGCAATATA